TGGATACACACTCAGTAACACCAGGTCAGTGAGAGACAGCCTCACTATTCACAGCTGGGACACAGCTGGGTCAGAAGGCAGAAGCCACCCAGTATACAGACGAAAGGTGGTCTAGCTAGACAGTAGACGTCTGAGGGGCTACCACAAGGTTGGACCCTGTGATAAAAGCCAGGCTAGTAGTCGCCAGAGGCCAACCATCCACTCCTCACATTCATGGATCCTGGAGGGTAAATTCACATGGACAGAAAGCAGTAGAGTGGGAGCCCAGGGACTGGAGAGGGGGACATCTAATGAAGAAGGAGCATCCGTTTGGGGAGGTGCAGAAGTTCTGCAAATGCATGGTGGAGGAGGCTACACAAACTGGGTGCGCTTAACCGACTGCAGCCGGGGAACACAGCTCAGGGGCAGGGACTTGAGCAGCCCATGCAAGGCCCTGGTTCCATCTCTAGCGCCACACACATATTAATGGGATTGGTGCCGTGTGTTTTATCACAACATTTTCCCAAAACTGAAAGAAAGAAAACAGTATCAGGCTTTGTCCTCCCCTCTAGGATCCCCAAATCTTTACCCAGGAGCTCCTGTACCGCCAGTTGCCTGGCTCATGTCTTACAGAACTAAGGAGAGCCCAGCACAGCCTGGAGAGCTCAGCCTTTCTGGCAGGGTGCCGGCATGCAGCAAGTGCAGTGTCCGTGAAGCATGCTGTGGTGGGGGAAAATGAGCGAGGGCACTGAGCGGGGCAGGTGGGCCAACACGCAGGTGCACGCCTGAACTCCAGGTCTGTGTGAGGACTTAAGGGAACCACCAGGGTTCAACTGGACATGAACCTGGGGAAGGGATGAAGGAGAAATTACAAGTGGAAGGGCTGGGGCCAAGGTCAACCATGGTGTGGGCAGGGGGGGGACCTGTGGGCCCAGCCTTAGGAGACCTTCCTGCCAGCAGGGTAGGGCTGGGAAGGGCCCAGGCCTCAGGGAAGTGTGGCTAGATGTAAGGCTGTTGGGAGGAGGTGTGGGGAGGTGCCGGCTCCTGGCTGGGCACTGGTCTCTTGGGAGCTGGTATTTTGCCTGAAAAGTCCCCGTTAGCCTGTAAAACGTACTCATTGTTGGGCAGGCAGGGTGCGCCAGCCTGTGGTCTCTGAATGTCTTTTACAGCAGAGCTATTTTTAAGTCCTTCTTGCTTTTCCTTTTTTCCTTTCTCCTCCTTTCCTTCAACCTACACCCTTTGTGTGTCTGAGTAAGAGAGGGCGAGGCCAGACACGGGGGTGGACCAGTTGGACTCGACTTCCTGTCCTGCTCCTGCATCCAAACATCTGGGAAGCAAGGAGCTCACTAGTGTACCCCAAAACCGTTCCCACGGCCTTCCCAGGAGCTCCTACTAACTGCCTACTTCTCTTCAGAGGGATTCAGGGCTGGGAGGCCTGCTTCTGTCTTGTCTCCTGCATAAGGCTACACAGTCATGGAGACGGGGGTGGGGGTGGGGTAGGAAGGTGGGGGGAGGTGTCTCTGCCTATGGAGCCAGTGCTAGGTGAGCACAGAGGACAGGGACCGAGGGAGACCTCCCTGGAGTCCCCATCCCATCAGCACTGTGACGGAGTGGGAAGATGCTCCACTTGGAGACTTCACGGCCTGTCACAGGCCACAAGGCCTTGGGCCTTTGGGAACTTGGAGCATGGCCAGAGTGGGCTGCCCAGCCTCTGGGGACAGCATAGCAGCACACGTGGGGATCAAGCCCACTTTTAGTTCATGAGAGTTTTCCCAAAGGGAAAGGCTTTTGCTTGGTGGTGCTGGGGATGGACCCCAGGACCTCAAGTACAGGAGACAAGCACCCCTCTCCCACCCAGGAAAATCCTGCACTTGGATATGAGGAGGTAAGAGAGCAAGCCACCACGATGCTATCAGGTGAACAGCAAACAAATCGGACACCGTAACTGTCTCTCTGCAGTGGGGTGGCAAGAGAGGGGCCAGCACATCTGAAGAGCGGAATTCTATGCAGTATGGAAAATGTGTGATTCTATGTACTAACGTGGGAAGACCTTTGAGGGACTCGGGGAAAAAAATCGAATGAGCCATTTCAAGATCCTGACAATCGGATCCAATTTCTGTAAAAGTAACTCTGCAACCAGTCCACGCCATTCCCATTCACGGTGATGTACGTGGGAGAGGTGAGGACCAGGTCTAGAAGAATGAGTCCTTTGAGAGTGGTGAGGAGTCAGGACCGCAGGGCACTGACTCCTGTCTGTAGCGATGCTAGCAATGTGCTGTGCAGGGAAATGAAATGAGCTTGTTTCATTGTGTGTTTGCCCTTCCTGTGTACACATGTGCTCAGATGAGTGCATGCAGGTTGTATGTGAGTGGAGGTCAGAGGTCAACCCTGTGTATATTCCTTGGTCACTCTCCACCTTGTGTTTTGGGACAGAATCTCTCACTGAATCTGGAGCTCACTATTTGGCCAGGCTGTCAGGCTAGGGAACTTCAAGGATTTGCCTGTCTCTGCCTTCCTGGTGCTAGTACTGGGGTTACAGACACATGCCACTGCATTTACATGGGAACTAAGGAACAAACAGGCTGATGAGGAAATTATCCACTGGGCCACTTCTCCAATTCAGGAAAACCTGGTTGTAAAGGTGATTTCCACTCTGGTATAACAGCAGCCGAAGGCTGCGGACCACTCTGGCATAACTTGTAAGTCTCACACAGGACAGCAACCGAAGGCTGGGGTTCTGCAGAGGGAAGAGGTCTCCTGGAAGAGCCCAGCCCTTCGGCTCTCAGAATAACAGGATGCTCCTGGCTGACTCGGCCTGGCCTCGGCTGCCCATTGACTCTATCTGGTATAACCCCAGCCAGATCAGCCAGGGGTCACTTGACCTTGGCAACTGTCACTGTCTTAACTGTCCCGATCCACAGTGTCACACTCCTGAGCTCTGACCTCCGTGTGTTCTAACCAGCCCCATCTTGTAGTCATGCTGCCGCTGCCACAGTGGCTAGTCCAAGTTCACGGACAGGAAACCAAAGGATCAGCAGTTAAGAAGTTGTCTGTTGTTTAGGGGGCAAGTGGCAGAGCTAGGGTTGAACCAACTCTTGGTCTCATGTTACCCTGCTTCCTGCCTCCGAGTGCCCATGAATGTCCAGGGCCTGGGGACTTCACTGCTTCACAGTGGTCCCAAGCAGGCCAGCCCCTCCACCTCCCTGTCCTCCATGCTGTCTCTCTCCTCCTGAACCTCTCTTCCCTCTTCTTCCCTTTTTTTCTGTCCCTCTTTCCTGTTCCTTGGATTCAGATGACAACTGCACCCCTGTCCCCACCCTGGCCTGTGACCATACTCTGTTTGTTGGACCCTCCTATAGACCCAGCAACACTCCCATTTTAGAGATGGGGAAGCTATGGGCCAAGGTGACACAGCTGGAGGAGGGGCAGCAGGTAGCCTGAGTGGCAGGCACCAGTTCCAGATCCCTGCCATTGGTCTCCTGCTTCCAGACCCCACAATAACAGAGATGCCTAGAAAAGCCAAAATACTCTCTGAGAGGTACTAGCAATGGCGGGATCTCTTTCCTTCCAGCAATGACTCAGGAATTCTTTTAGGGGGAAGAAGGTGTGAAGAGAAAGACAGATACTAAGCAGTCAGACCTCTGGGTCCCCAAGCCCAGTGGCTTGAACATTCTGAGCGTGTGTCTTCAACTGTAAAGCAGGGAGGGAGTTGGCTGTGTCAGTTATGAGTCTCCAGGGCTATGCTGCAGCTCAGCAGCAGGAGGGACAGACAGAGGCAGGGCAGCGGCAATGGCAGCGGGAGAACTTGGAAGGACAGGAGGAGCTGGGAGGGTCTATTGAGGGCCAGGGTGATGGAGGAGAAAGCAGGAAGGCCTGAATAAAAGCAACAGGGCAGGGGTAGGTAGGGCAGGGGCAGGCATGACAGGGGTGGGCAGGGTAGGGGTGGACAGGGCAGGAGGAGGCAGGGCAAGGGCAGGCAGGGCAAGGGCAGGCAGGGAGGGGGCAGATAGGGCAGGAGGAGGCAGGGCAGGGGCAGGTAGGGGCAGGCAGGGCAAGGGCAAGTATGGCAGGGTGGGCAGGGCAAAGGCAGGAAGGGTAGGAGAAAGCATAGTAGGGGCAGGTAGGGTAGGGATGGGCAATGCAAGAGGAGGCAGAGCAGGGACAGGCAGGGCAGTGAGTCAGCATGGACAGACTCCTTGGGGCTCCTACACAGTTGGTAACTTTGGGGAAACAGTGTTCAAAGACACAAGTGTATTAAAAAAAAAGCCGAAGTCTGGCTACAAAATGACAGTTTGCTTCCCAGAAGCCTGGTGAGAGCCAGGTCCCAGCCCAGCTTCCATAGCCACCACTTTTCTGGCCACGGTGAGACCCCAAGCAGCCATGGGAGGGATGGTGAGAAGACAGGGCGGACAGATGCGGGAAAGGCTTCTGGGGAAGGTGATCAGACAATCACCACAGCTCCTGCAGATGGCCAAGGTGGAAACCATCTGACTCCTAGGGGTGCTGAGAAGACTGAAGTGTGGAAGGCAGTGAAGGGGAGGTGCAGCCAACGCGAGCACCCTGTGGAAAGCGGTCTGCTTCCATCTACATGAAGGTGTCAAGCCATGGGGAGCTCTGGTCTCCTCCAGGACAGGGTCACTCTATGTCCCTTCCGAACAGTCTCTCCAACACCTACCCCTGCCGTAGGCTTTCTGCTTAGGGAAGCAAAACCAGCGAGGGCCGCAGATTGTTTTCAGTTAAAGGCATTCTCCCTGTTCTGACTCCCACCTCACAGATAAGGAAACCGAGGCCCGAACACACTAGAATCTGGGCCTGTCTTGTCAGAGCTCCACTCTGCATCACAGACAAAGACTTGGAAGCCTTACACTTCTTCAGACAAAGGAAGTGTCTCCAACCACTGCCCAGCGACTGAGGAATGGCTACGGCGAGGGGTGGGGGTATGGTCTTCCCCATTCTCTCCACTTCTACATCTCTGCCCCCTAAACCTTTCCCAAGGCCCTCACCTGAGGGTGTCCTCCTACCTTGTGTGTGAGGCTGGGGTCTCTTGAAGCACTGTCCTCCTCCTCTGAGCTTCCCTGTTCTTCGTCTGATGTGAGGTCCTCTCTGGGAGCCGCTGAGATGGGACAGACCTTGTAGGGCTCAGTGTAGGCGCTAGGCAGAGCAAGAGAGAGGGTTAGAGTTGCTTGTCCAGGCCCATTTCACTAGCTCCCGACCAGCGCACACTCCCTTCCCCACCCTGGCCACAGCGACTCCCTTTCAGTCCATCAGACAAGCTAGGGTCTCTCTGGCCCCGGTGCCATTACACATACAGGCAAAGACAACCCCAGATCCCTGTCAGGTCTGCGCCTTCCTCCCAACATGTCAGACATTTCTGTTCTTCATTTCAAAATATTAGATGTGGGCCTCTTCTTCTAAACTATGAGAGCAGACAGTGTCTCTTGCCACAAGTCCTGAGCTTCTTTCTATGGTACAGGAAAAAAAAAAAAACCAGACCAGGTTTATTGTAGGCTGGAGCCTCTCTACACACCTCCCTCTTGGCCACTGCAGCACTGTGGGTGTCAGTGATGGAAGACAGCATGAACAGCAAGGTGGCCGAGCCCAGGTCTTGCCTTCCAGAGCCACCTGGGGAAATGTGTAACCATTTGCATCTGTCCCACAGGTAGGTGGCAGGGAGTCTAGGGCACTTCCTCTTAGAGAAGTGGCCACGGTTGTCCAGCGGGAGCCTGCTATGCCTGTTCAGGACCGCTGGTCATCAAGAGTGAGGGCAGGAGTGGTCAGCTGAACTTCTAGACCCTTGTCAAGGAGAATAGGGCAAGGGCAGGCCTTTTGTAGAACACACTGGGGAAGGGGGAAAAGTTTCCAGCCAACTTCACAGGCATCAAGCCCCTCCCACATTCACCTCCCCATAGGTTCCCTGAGACCACTGGTGTCTCCATCACATCACCTATGGGCCAGACACCTCCTGCCTCAAGGTCTGTGACATCTGATTCCATCCTCACTGTCATTCACCACTGAGAGGGACCTTGAGATCCTCTCTGGTCATGTGGTCCTTCCCTGAAAACTCTTTGTTAGCATCCTGACATTGTCTAGATTGGCTCCCACAGTTCAGCTTGGCCAAGCGGACACATTTCATGTCTAGTGAAAGAATCTGTGTGGGAAAGGAGCTAAAGTAGAGAACAATAATAGAAGAAGACGCAGGGACTAAGGCGGTGACGTGTAACTTAATCACAGCCCTCAGGAGGCAGAAGCAGGGGGACCTTTGAGTTGAAGACCATCCTGGTCCGTGTAGCAAGTTCCAGGCCAGCTAGAGCTACACAGTGAGACCCTATGTGGAAAAAAAATAGACAGGAAGACACCTTGTTGAGTTCTGACCTCCACACACATGCACATATACACACGAGCACATGCCCACAGCAACATGGTAACTCATGAACGCACACCTGCCAGCTTGTCTGGAATCCTGGCTCCATCATTTCAAGCAAGTTCCTCCCTTCTGTGTCTCGTCTCTCTATTTTGGGAAGTGATGCAGGGGTTCAGGGTGTTCCGAGGACCGAGGAAGAGACTGCACTGAGGCCCTCAGCAGAGTGGTGAGGACGCACACTAGATGCTAGGATGCTTTTTCCACAGTTTGCAGCTGCAGATGAATGCCTTGATCAGCCGCAGGCCCATCCCATTGGTTGGCACCTCATCTGCTCTCTGGTGCCCCACTCTAGGTGGCCCCCATCTCTATAGTAACTTAGTGCTGAGTAGAACGGTATGGGGGTCAGGTGGTCAGGTCACATTCAGTGACTGAGAGACCTGGAACTCACACATCAGGAAGAAAGACCTCGCTGAGACCTTGGGTGAGTCACTCAAGGCGAGATCAGCCTCATTGTCTCCTGGACTGGGTTTGGAAGGGCCTACGAGATGTGTAACACACACTGTTGGTTGTGTCTGAAGCCTTCCAGAGACGATCGGCAAAGGACTAGAGCCGCCGTGGATGTGGGCAGCACCATCACAGAACCTGCCAGTCTAGGGGGAAAGAGAGGGAGGTCGCTGCCAGTCTAGGGGGACAGAGAGGGAGGTCGCTGCCAGTCTAGGGGGACAGAGAGGGAGGTCGCTGCCAGTCTAGGGGGACAGAGGGGGAGGTCGCTGCCAGCATGGGGAGAGAGGAGAAGTTGCTGTTAGCCTGAGGAATTCTGTCTCTGCTTCTGGGCCATCATGAGTCATTCCATGATACCCTCCCCTCCATGACAGACAGAAACCATCTGAAACCATGAGCCATGGTCACCCTCTCCTCGCTTGAGGTATGTGCCTGGAGTTTCGTTACAGAGAGGGAAAGTTGACCAATTCACACGACTTGTTTGTGGCGTCAAGCTGGGGTCCATAGGCATCGTTGGGTCACACAGCAGCACCAGGGAGAAAAGATGGACGGCTTCTCGCATGAGGGGAGTCCGTCTCAGCCTATGGAGAGCCAGTTTCTAACTTCCAAGTTGTATCCTCCCCTCCCTCTATGTCGTTTTAGGCTTAAAGCGAGCACAACAAGCTGCCCAGGGCTGTTACCTTAATCGACCCGCCAAATGAGCCCGGGGCCTTTCCAGCAGCCTGGAGTCATAAAAAGACATACATGTCTCCTCTGTGACTGGGCCCCACACTGTCCAACTCTGACCATTAACTTCCATCTCCAGCAACACAGTCCAAAGGGCCTCATAACTTATCCAAAAGCGTTCCCTCTTGGGAGTCGTTAGCGTGAGTTTGAGCCCATAGTCCACTCCAGCTGGAGCTGTGTCTGAGGCCAGCCTGTCAGCGAGAGGAGGGGGCCGAGGCAGAGTACCCTGCAAGCTGGAAAGATCGAGATGGAGACAGCTAGCAAACGCGATGATTGCAATTAGCAGAACAATTTGAAGAGCCAAGGAGAGCACAGACCAGAGGGAGGGGGACAAAACTTGGATTTCCAAACACTTGGCTTTCACTGCTGACCACCGTCCATTCCATCCATCCGTTCGTGACCCACCCTCACCAGTGAACAGCATTTCTCAGCGTGCAGACAATCCCTCTAGGGCCTGCCCAGGTGGCATCTTCTATTGAGAACTAATCTCCCTTGTGTCCCATCCCCTCGAACAAGCCCCTGAGAGTGGTCGCCTCCTGCTGCTCTGAATGAGACAAAGTAGGAGGAGAGCTGACGAGGTGGAAAGAGCCTTGAAGATGGGCTCACCATCAAGCCAGGGCGTACTCAACTTTGTGGCTGCCATGTTGGGCCTCAGTTTCCACATCTGTATAACGGAGGCGGAGGGTGGACAGCACATGCAGGGCCGATCATGCCTGTGCTAGCCCGCCTGCTGCAGTGTCTCATCCGCAGAGAACTCGCTCTGTTCCTCCTGGGGAGAACGCCCCCTGCATCCAGGGTCAGCCAAGGGGTAGATAGCCTTGTAACATTTCCCAGAAAAGGGCTCCAAGGAGCGGCGTTTTAGAGAACTCGGTTTCCATTTCTCACTAAGTAAAAACAAGCCATGTTGCTCCCTGACCTGTGACGTCTCCTCCAAAACAGCGCTGGGGGCTGGAGGGATTGTTTTCCACTTAGGAAAGCTCTTCTGGGCTGTGACTCACAGACCGTGAATTTTCACCCTTGCACCAAGCACGACTCGGTGCTTTTTACTGTGCTCAGAGGGCTACTCACCTGCCATCAGGGCTAATGAGATGAAATTTTCATCACCCCCATGCCCTTCAACGGTGTACAAGAGGTCCCTGGGTCCTGGCAGCCGCTAGCCTGCTTTCTCTATTGTAAACCGCATGTCAATGAGATCCACAATATTACTTTTGTGTACAGCTTTTCTCACCCCATATGGTATGTTGGGGCTTCACTTATGCTATAGCAGGCACCAACCCTTCTATCTTTTGCATGGCTAAATAATATTCCATCGACTAGACAGACCGTAATCCAGAATGTCTCTGGGCTATGCTGTTGTCACTAAGGTTTCTGGGAACACTGGTGCACCATGTCTTAAGCAGCCGTGCATGTTTCCTCTAAGCCACACACAAATGTGTGGGACTGCCAGGCATAGGATCACTCCATGTTATGAATTTTTAGGGACCACAGGACTAACTTTCCATGGTTTTACTTAAGCACCCAGATTCTTCCCCGCCACAGCAAACACTTGTCATGGTTGATTTTTCATTTTTAAAGGGATTTTCCAAGAATTTTTTGACTGTTGGGCCCAGTTCAGCCTTCTTTACTCCTTTCAAATCCTACAGCCTCTTCTAGCCAAAGTCAGGGGAAAATAAAATGAATCAAGGCTGTGGCCATTAAGGCTTATTTCTAGATCACTGATGAGGCTCGAAGTCTAGTGACATAAAATGTTTTAAAGATCTGCAGAACTCATAAAATGACAGACTGGTCTAAAGAGGTCTAAACTGGTCTAAACATTCTAGAAGAATCCACAAGCCAGAGCTGTGAGCGTGCTGATACAGCGATGCCTTGGGTTCCAGCCTGGGCAAACAACAGCCTCTGCTCCCATCAGGTAAGTGTCCCCACAGGCCCTAGGGCTCCTAGGTTGGTGCCACTAGAAGGTGCCACTAGAAGAGGCCAGGTGGAATGGAGTTACACTAATGGGGATGTGCCCTTGAAGGGGACAATGGGACCCTGGCACCCTCTTCCTCTCTCCCCCGACTGCCACTCCCCCTTTATCCCTGGCTGTGACAGGAGTAGCTTGGTTCTGCCATATGCTCCTATCAAGATGTGCTACCACAGGCCCAGTTCAATGCACCCAGCTGAGGATGGACTGAAAGCTCCAAAGCTGTGAGCTAAAACAACCTTTTTCTATGTGGAAGGAGAGTCACTCAGGTATTCTGTTCCAGTGATGAAAACTGATGAACACATTTAAGACAGGGTTCTGGTTTGGGCAGTAGATGGGGCTTCCATTTCAGATCCTTAGAAGCAGCTAAACTGTTGGTACCTGGGCGTGCCTCTAGGCTGGCTCAGTGGGAAACAGAATTTATCCACAGAGATGCGGCCAGCCACAATGCACTCAGCAGCAGCAACACCTGCTAAGGCCTGTTCTGCAGGCTGAGAACCTCTTGGAGGAGACTCTGATCTGTGTCCCCGGTGGAACTAGACACCCAGGGTCAAGGTCGGGGCACATGCTATAGACTCTGCCTTCCTCAAGCCAGACCTG